TTAAATACTTCATTACATTAACTCATGCTCAACCTGGCTACAGCAATGAGGCCAGTGTTCTTATATCCCCATTTTACAAAGAAACTGAGGTACAGAGAGTTTAAGTAATCTACTCAAAATAACAGCTAGTAAATGGGGGTATCATGTCTACTGAGTTTGGGACTTGTGTTCCTCATCCACAAATTAGCTGAAGTGCTGTGTGCTATGGTGCAAGGAGAGAATGGACTTTGGAGTCAGAAATACTGGAGTCAGAAATCTGAGCCTTCATATGCAAAACCAGCTACCACCACCTTTCTCTTGGGCTTGTTGTACAGGTTGAATGAAGTAATGCAAGTCAGCAGCCTTGGGAAATTCCTATTATTGTGAAGCAGAAGGGAGTCACAGGCTATTGCTATGGATTTTGAACAAAATACTTGAAGCATTTGAGTCCTTACCAAAGAAGCAGCCCACTCCTATGCAGCAGTGGAAGAACATGTTAAAAGTCCCTCTTTGGTTAGAAATCAAGCTTGCTGAGTTTTGTATTTCTATAAAAGCATGGGGAGATGTCTGCCACAAATGAGATAAGAGAGTTGCACTTAGATATTACCATGGGCCTGTATTTCCTGCCCTGAGGAAAAATAATAAATTGTGTCCGAATAGGGACTCCCTCTCCCCAGGGAATACCCCCCCTGGTGGCCACCACAGAGGCATGGCTGTGTGTGCAACACCCCTCTATGTCCACAGTCATTACTGGGGAAGCCACGCTATCTCTGGGGTCAGGATTGTGAATATAATTGAAACATCCTGCCTTCAGCAGGGGTTAAAATCAACAAAATTAGTATCTGAATAGTGTTTGGCTCTGCAAGAATAGTAACACAGGAGAAGAGTAAAACTTTCTGACTTTGTCACTCAGACACCTGATATTTCCATTTCCTTCTGGTTAAAAGAATCAGAGTAGGAATTACAGTATAAACATGGCAGCATGAAACAGAAGTCTCCCAGTTCTCCAGAATGTCACACAAAACAAGATAAATGGAAACAACAGCAGCATGGGTAATGCCACTTTGAGCAAAACTAGGGAAGATACATAACCCTCAGCCTCAAAAAAACATCTAAAGGACAGACAGGACAGGCCCCCCTGTCCAAAGTAACCAAATTAGGAGCAGAAGCTATTTAGGAAGAAGCTGTGTGTTGTGGGGAGGGGGATGTGGGGACATGCTTAAGGAGCCAGGCCAAAAGTCACCAGCAAGAATATACTCCCTCCAGACAAAGAAAGGGCTCATCCCAATGCGATAAATAAATAACTCTTGAAAATAACAAGAATTGGAAGATCTGGAGAGAGAAGGTCAGAAATGGATTGAGCAGATGCTCCATGATGGATAGAAATGGAGTGAGCAGACACACCCCTTCCAAATCCTCCCAGCCCCACTTACTCCAGCCAAAGCTGCAGCATCCACTTCTACACAGAATGACTTTGCACAGATGCAGATGGGCTGACCCTTGCCTTAGATTAAGGCTGCCTACCTCTCACTTCCTGGCAACCCACTCTTGCATTCAGCCATGCAAAACCCAGAAGTGTGGAGGACAGAGCCTTTAGATAAAACGTGTATTCCCCTTTTTGTTCCCGGAGTTAACATTTCTCCTTGGAAGATTCCAGTGGGATTAAGCACTAACTATCAAGCAGGAGAACACCACACGTCCATAAGGTACCTGTGTATTGGCTTTTCTGTTTCCTGAATTTCCTGCTTCCTGGAATCACAGTCCCCCCAAAAACTACCCATGTGCAAGCCTCTGTCTCAGCCTGTTGGAGTGCCAGTCTAAGAGAATCAGTACCAGAAATGGCCCTAGAAAGAAAATTCTCAGAATGGGATTTTGGAGCTGACCACCTGCTAGTCAGATGGCAAGGATCGCATCTATAGAGGTCATTGAGGGGCAAAGCGCCATAATGAACTCTTACCTGCTGGGGATTAGGATTAGGTGCAGGTGGAAGGTGAAGAGAGGTACTTGAACAGTATAGGGAATGGTAATTAGGAGGATTGTGGAATCACTGGCTTTGGTAACTGTTTTGAATATCCTGAAAAAAAAAATGAGAACTACAGGTCAGCCAATCATATTCTGCACAGACCAGAAGGCCTCTGGGGAAGCATTTAGGAGACCCTTACCTCCGGCAGCTGCAGGGCAGACTGTACTGGAAATCAAGTGCAAAATCAAAGCCATAAAGAAAATGGATGTACAGTCTTGACAGTTCCCTTACGTCAAAGTCAGGAAGAGTGGGGCTCAGGGGACTGGGATGGAGACGTCGAGGTGGACAAGGCTTAGGTTGCTGAACTCACAGGTTCCCCTAAATCATCCCCAGTGAGAGAGGCTAATCTTTTCCTCCACTTTGCCAGCTGAGACCACCTCCGCTTCCCGGAGACCCCACGAAGTCTGCACCTGAGGCAGCTACTCTGCAGGCTCTGCCCTGCTGCCTCTCACTGCTTCCAGGCTGATAAACAGCCTCTGCCTTGCCAATGGGTTTCAGCCCCAGACAAGTTCACTATGGATTCAATGTGACCAAAGAAATGACAGTAAAACATTCTTGGAGTGAAAGGGTTTATACCCAACTTTATTTCCATGGTGGCAGGTCAGTCACTAAAATCCCATCCATTCAGAGCAAGTTTGCACACAGCAAGTCAGTCTCTGCCCCTGGGCCTCTCTGCACACACAGCAGTGTTCTGGGCCTCTGTCCTCAGTGCTGCCAGCACTCCAGCGTCTGCTCTGCTCTCCTGCAGCCTTGCAGCCATGCCACCGTGTCACCCAGAGCACTGGACAGGGCTCTTTATATAGAGTCAATAACAATGCATTGCCCACATGTGTAGTGAGCTAGCCAACCAGGGTCAGGTGAGAATCCTGGCCACAGGGACCCTTACTTTATCCACAGCCTCACAGCCCAGCCCTCCCAGAGCACAGAACTGCAGTCCCTGCCCTGGGAGGAACAGTCTACACACTGAAGGACAGTAAGGCTAACACGTACTGGCAGCAATTAGAGGAAGCCGTGTAAGAGTCGATCTTGCGAGTGCTGAGCTGGGGATGGCTGTGTGAAAAAGGTGTATTTATTGGCATGGGAGGCCTCTCCTGTGCCTCAGCATGCAACACCTGGAGTACCCTCATCGGTCCCGGCGAGTGCCTTGAAGCTTGTTTATGGTGATGGCCTGCAGTAATCGGAGCCGCTCTGCACAATGATCAGGAAGAAGTGAAGATTCCTGGAGGTGAGCATGTGCAGTATTTTCCCAGATGGATAGTCAACTATGGCAGTACCATTTATCAATTAAACTTTCCACTTAACAAAAATGTCCCAATTTTTATACTTTAAAACAACACAACTCACAGATTAGAGGTTGCCTGGAGGTAGGGGAAGATGCAGGAATTGGTTGCAAATGGGCACAATCTTTTTGGAGTGATGGAAATGTTCTAAAACTTGATTTTGGTGATAGTGCACAACTCTAAACTTTAATAAAGATCATTCAACTGTACATCTCAAATGGGTAAATTTTACAGTATGTATATTATACCTCAGCAAAACTGTTTTAAAAATTTCTCTGAGAATATTTCCACTTTGTAACTTTCATCCTTGTGGGGATGACTTCCCTTGAAGGTTGTTGCTGTCCAAGGTGAACTTCTCTTCAGCTTAGCTGCAGAAAACTGTGGTGAGACTGCAGCAAATTCCTATACTACAACATGCAGCCCTTGTAAATGGGGTCAGTTGTGTCTTCACTGGATAACTCTGCTGTGTGATCCACAACCATGCTTTTTTATTAGAGGAGCAAGAAGTCAGTTGTATTCCTGAAGATCACAATTATTTCACTGGGTATCAACTTGATACCCAGATGTGCTAAAAAGGACTAAAAGACCAAATGCTTAAGCATCATGCCATAGAAAGAGGGAGAACTTAAAACTCTGCTTATTATTCATGATTAAGAACAACCAGATAAATCTGTCAGACTTTTAACTGACTGAAATATACACATATATATTTTTTGGACAGCAGAGGGCAATCTAGTTTCCATGAAGCAGCTTTGAGGAAAATAAAAATAACAAAAGGGAAAAAAAAGAACTTAAAAGACAATATAGAATAATCAGATGGCACCACAGTCTTAGTGCTCGGGCATGTTAAGTCGGTTTCCTCAGCCTCATGAACCATTTCCCTCCTTCCCATCCTCCACCCCCCATCCCCCAATCTCTATTTCCTACATAATAAATTCAGATCCTTTGCTGTTCCTAAAAGGTCAGGGCAAGACTAAGGCTCTGTTGCTCCTGAGGCCAGGGATTAACCTGTACATTCGGCTATACTTCTGACTGACTCTTGGCATGGGGAGCACTCACACAGCAAAGCCAGAGGAAGACGCCTCCTCTTCCCACCATGGCTGCCAACACTTGTCTGTTAACTGCCCCTCCTCCATGGTACTCACAAACCTAAGGTTTCCCAAGTCAGAGCCAGGATTTCTCAGACCGTCTGCATGAGAACCACAGGTTGGTACAGGATGCCTTTACGGGGTCTACTGTAGACATGGAATCAGCATCTCTGGGGTCAGGACTCAGGAATCTGCATGTTAGCAGGCACTTTTCATGATTCTTGATGATTCATAGGAACAGAAGTATGTGGCCTGAATAAGCAAGACATCTGACATTTACCCCATCAGAGACACTTAGGTCTCACTGCAGATGTACCTCTCTGATTCCCTCACAAGAGAAGAAGTGAGCAGTAAAGCATGAGGGCATGACTGGGAAGGCGGCGGAATGTTAAGTCAGCACACACTCAGACCCAGCATGTCTTCCCTGTCATCAGCACATGTGGAAAACATTGGGGTGCCACGGATTTGCAAGATCACTCTGAGGCTGGAAATGCATGCATCCAATGTTAAACAGCAAATAAAAGTGAATGCCTCTAAAAAAATCAAAGCAAAAATAGAAAATAAGAAAAAGTCAACAGCTAGCTGCATAATTAAGCCATGTTTACTTGGTCTAGTACTTTCCAAATTTACCTCAGTCTGAGAACCACATGGAAAGCTCGCTGACTCTCAAGGGTGCGATAAGCAGCCACCGTTGGCCACTGAAGTGGGACTTCTCAGGTCTACAATGAAATGCCTGGATCTTCTCAAGCCATCGTTCTCCATAGGAAGTTCTCTTCAGCATGTGAACACAAAGAGGAAATCAGCTGGGTGGAATAACTGACCAACACCTCTCTATTTTGTCATCACTCTCAGCACCAGAAGCAGGGCCTAACAATCCAGAAGCTGCTGGCTCCTGCAGAAGTGTACTGAGTGGAGCAGCGTGACTCCAGGTGCGGTCCAGGGAACAGCAGCCACATCAGTAGGGAACTTACTAGAAATAGGAATTCCCTGGCTCCATCCCAGAATCTCTGGGGATGGGGCCCAGGCCTCTGTTCTAACAAGCCCCAGGGATTTGGATGCATGGCAGAGTTCAGAAGCACTGCAATCAATTGTTTCCTAAACTTTTCTGGTGGGAAATACATCTTCCTAGGCCCCTCTACAGGTAACTCTGATTCTGAGAAGTTGGAACAAGAAAATGGAGATGCACTTTGTGGAAGCACCCCCGAGTGACTCATCAGGTAAGCTTAGGAGAATCTAGGTGCCTCCCTGATTTCCTCATATCCATGAGTCCTGGTGGAAGCAGGGGTTTGGTAAGTGATGCACGTAATTACTGATGGAGCTTCTCTGACCTTTTCCTAAACTCAGGCCAATCACTGTACCTGGAATAGGTGGTCGAGCAGTAATACTGTGTCTGGTTCTCCTACAGTAAGTGGCCTCAACGAAGAAGGGGTAACTTCAGTGAGGATGGTGCTGTGTCCAGGGATGCTTGGTGCTGGTGCTACAGCAAAGACCCACAAGCTTGGCCACAGATGCCTGGAGCAGAGCCTTCTACAGATCACAAGCACTTGGGCAACAAAACCATGATGGGCTGAGAAGCAGAGGCCCTTCTCCAGTTGGAACTGAATGAGCAATGCCTGCCCAATGTGATGGGAGCAGGGACAACAGCCATCCTTGGTTTGGTTTAGGAAAGTAAAGGATCGGGATATTTTACCAGTTACACATAGAAAAATTTTAAGGAGACCAAATCTCTTGCAGGGAAATGTGTGAAAAATGTCTCTTTTAAAACCTCTCTCACTTTACATTCTGCTTTATCACCTACATCTGAAATTCCATAAAGTCTGCCTTTTGTAAGATCACATACTCTATTTCACTATCAAGAAGTTCACCATTTTCTTTTGTCTTAAGATTATTTTGTAACATTGGTAAATTCTCAATTTCCTTTTTAAGCTCTAAATACTGGTAACCATCAGATACCATATTGGGTAAGCAATCAACCCACTTAAAAAAGCTTTTGTCCAGTGTATCAACCCCTAAGAGCTGCATGTTTAAGATTTGAAACCTTAAGTCTTCGATTAAAGTCACATATTTTGAGCTTATCAAAGTGCTTGATAGGGGGTAATAAATAATGGTGGTTCCCATATCCTCCCCCTCTGAGATTTTAAATATCATCTTATAAAAGTGTTGCATGTGTCTGGCTCCCTGGCGTGGAAAGAGTGATATCAGAAATTCAAACACAGCTATAAATACAAATCTATTTTTATTGCTCAAAGGCCACTAAAGGCCTATAATCAAAACAGATTCTGCCAGGTGAACAAATCTTCATTTTGCCTGCCTGGAATATAAAAAAAGGAAAATTCCTGATTTAGTGATCTCTGAGATAGGTGGCCAAGCAGTAATATTGTGTCTTGTTCTCCTACAGTAAGTGACTTAAGTGAAGAAGAAGTAACTTTCCAATGGGGATGGTGCTGCTATCCTGCAAACATCCTGAGACTACATTTGCCATGAAAAAAATAATAAAGAACCCAGATTACAGAGGGCTCCAACTATCTTCGAACTGTCCTAATACTCAAATTTTATTCTCCACTGTCCGCACTGTGGACACCTTTGTTATTTCTTCTCTAAAAGGAGTTGCCAGATCTTTGCCTGGGTTGAGAATCAGCACCTAATCACACAGGGTGATACAAAATTCGACGGTTACTTTTCAATGAAATGGAACTGCAGTGCTCTTCTCTGTCCTTTTGCCTCCAAAGCTGGGAACATGCCCCATTCCTCTCCGAACTCACAGCTCTTCCTGCCTCAAGT